TAAAAATAATAAAAATAAAACATACCGCCTAATTAATTTTCGGTCTCATTCTCATGTCCAAATTTGGCCAAAAAACGTTATGAGCGTTGCTTGGCGGTTTGGAACAACTCCTTGCTCTCTTTATCGAAATCACTTTCAGTCAGACGAAATAATTTCATACTGGCTTCTAAAACAAACATTAATAACTTAAGTTATCTAAGTAATTAAGTATATAAAACTTATATAACTTGCCTGTCGCTCGGCGCAAAATTTGTCTCCCATGTTCACTGGTGTATTAACTGAAAAATCAAATTGATTAAAAGACTTTTCTTTAAGTCTAACAGCATTGATTAATATTACTTCTCACTCAACGCTAACATTTAAATCAACAAAATTCGATAACCACTAATAGCTCCATTATGGCGATATTGGGACAATTAATTAATTATATTATAACTGTATGGTTGCAAACAAATAATAAAGCCAACTTACCTAAACCCATATACCTATAAGTTATAGGTATATGCCTAAACCGTTCAGTCTCGCCTATGGAGAACAATGCGTTTTCTATCACACAGCAACAAATGGCAACACACTGTGTTGAACACAGAACAATGGCAGTCGCAACGCAAACAGAGTATGCCCTGTTACAGGGCCCCTTTTATACCGATATATCGACTGGAAACGAAATTACCCGAGTCCTTTTTTACGTAAATTTTACATAAAATATACGTTTCTTAATCTCACTATGCGAGAATAATTATTATTTTATAAGCGGTAATATTAATTAATAAATCACTCTGGGATTTATATTAAGTCATTAAAATAATAATTGTACCTACTTACATTGGTTTCTAAGTAAGTACCTACCTTGGGTTTAATCTAAAATTATGAATTAAATTTGGTATTTAATTATCTAAGTATACACTCAAATTTCCAACAAAAATGTAAATGTGGCATATATTTTAATGTTCATCATTGGCAAACCTATCACATTCATATTTATCATGTGTCACATTGGTGACGTAAAATGTACGTTGTGTTTTGCACCTAATACGCTAAAGTAAAATAAAAGTCATAGACTGGACGGTATAGTGACGTGCTCGACAGCACCTTTTATTTTTTAGCGTAATTTTTACGTAAATTGAACATCACTAAAGAACGTAGTTAATGTGCCTTAAAATTGACAATTTTTAAACGTCACTGTGACATCACCACATCCATAATGTTCAGTGGGTACTTATACGTGGTAATTTATATTTTCTACTATCAAAAATATTTAAAAAAGGTCTACGTATAAACGTATAAACCTAAGAGTTTTATAACTTAAACCTTATTATTTTCAACACTCACTACTAAAATAATAAATTATTGCCTAGGCTGAAAAAATAATTTAGACCAATCGGGTAAAGTTCTTTACTGTCAGATCAACCTAACCTCACTTTCTACTTTTAATATTTATTATTATTGTATGTTTTATGTAGGACAAATTTTAAAATATTTTTAAAAACATAAAAGTTATCAAAGTATTTAATATCAGGTGAAAAATAATTATACAATTGAAATCTCATAAGCACATATAGAAAGAATTTATTTTTGTACTCAGTTAAAAAGTCAAATTATTATACACCGCCGTACAATAATGAAAATGCATTGAAATTATATTAAAAGAGTGGTTCATTTATCTCATTTAGCTTTAGCTGCAGATAACAGGTCACTGTAGAATAAATTCATAAACATAACCTATAATATTTAATATCTCAAACGTCAAACCTTATGACAAAATGTAGCAAATTCGAGAATTTCAATGAAAGTACAGAATTATTAAACGGTTAAAAAAATAGTAATATTCCTTTTTGAAAGTTTAGTAAACACAGTCGGCCAAAAGATTTTTAAAAGTTTTAAGATAACGATGTTCTATCGTCTTCTAGCAATGTTTAAAGTTCTTACGTTTAACCTAGGCGAGAGCTCTCGGTATTGCCTGCCCCTATTTTGCTCTCATTTAATGACAATATTACCCTAACATTTTTTATTTTTAAATTTGGCATCTCCATTGCTATCGGCACGCCCCTTTTTTTCTCAATTGCGCGAGTTCTGGGACACCCTGTATACAACACGGCGGAGAAAGCATATTAAGCGCTTTCTCCGCCTGATCATGTACTATTACTATATTTGCTAGATGTATGTTTTGGAGAAATTTACTTTAAAAAATAGCATTTTTATTATTTTTTTAATACTTAAGATAATAAATAAAAATAGGAATGTAAATCTTTGTTTTACTTTAATTGACAAATATTTACATTATGATGATTGCAATGTCACTAATATATATATATATATAAAAAATAACATTGATAAATACAAATAAATATTGTCTATTTTTATATGAAAAAATAAATTAATTAAAATTAAGTTTTAACAAGTATACTTTGTTAAACCAATACACAGTAAAAAAAATCAACTCTAAGCAACACTAATTCCCTGATAGCAAAATTTGATTCTAAGAATCTTCTAAGAAGATACGACTCGGAATAATGGAATATTCTTAGAACCTTCCCTTATTGCTAAGAATGTTCTTAGGGACTTTTAAAACATTCAATAGATACCCTTTTAATGATGCAAGTAGATTCTTAGAAGCTTCTTAAAACCTTCCTAAAAAGCAATCTAAGAACATTTTAAGAATACGTTTTTGGAATGTTCTTAGAAGGTTTCTTATGGAGCTTCTAGGAAGCTTTTGAGAATATTTTCAAATATGTCAGATACCCACGTTCTAATATGTTGGATTCTACATTCGTAAAATTCTTCAGGAGGCGACAAATACGCCTCACTGTCATAATATGACAGTGAAATGTATTTGTCGTCCCCTTAAAAAAATTTGCGACATATTAATATATATTTATTTAAAAATATTAAATAAACAATTTGACCTCTGAACCATAAGTTGTATGACATTATTTCATAAAAAGTAAAATTGGAAAATTTTGTGGGATAAGTCAGATTAGATTGAAGTTGAAGATAGTAGGATTATTATACATAAAAATGTTAATTCAGAAATAAAAAATCGGTATACAAATTAATAAATATTTATTTTTAACATAAAATAAAATACCTATATATAGTAAAAGTATTTTTGTTATCTAATATTGTTTTAATTTGATAAATGACTATAAAAAATATTTTGGGTTGTATTTTACTTAGTATTACTAATTACTTTCTCAACATTCTAAGCATATGTTTAGAGTGGATTAATTTTTACCACTAAACTTTCCTAAGAATATTCTCACTGGAGGGTTTAAAAAACATTCTTAGAACATGACTAGAAGTAATATAGCATGATCCTAAGAATATTCTCACTGGAAGGTTTAAAAAACATTCTTAGAATAAACTGTGCTATCAGGGTTAGAGTTCACACAGGTCCACCCTAAATAGTGTTGTTTTATAACACTACAATTAGAGTTAATTTGTAGTGTAATTTTCCCCAAGTAAGCAAGTATGATTTAACACTATAGCACTGAGGATAAAGTAATTTTACATCATGATACAACATGATTTTACATTGTATTAAAAAGTGTTAATTTACCTAAAATCGTGTACTTCTACACTTCCTGGGTAAAATCCCACTTTTGTTCTGTGTAAATTAACACTACTTTGGAAAAGTTCTAATTTTAGAAAGGTACTCTTTTAGTGCCAACTTCTAGTGTAAATTAACACTATTATTTGAGTAAAATCTATTGGTGGTAGTGAATAAAACGAAAAGGTAAATAAAGAGAAACATTTATTTGGAACAAAAATCTATGACAAAATCGGTGCCTTTTAAAATTTCATTTTATTTTTCAGTCGTATGGCTGTCTTAAGCAAAATGGTTCCTTAAAATGTAAAAGTTTTAGATCAATGCAATGTTTTACTGGCTGTCAACTTGTAAGCAATGAATTATCTTGAGAATTCATCAGTAATCCATTTTTCTGGTATAAAAAATGGGTGATCCCATTGGTAGAGAGGCGTCAGGCGGCTGTATGTCGGGGATTTACCACACGTGTACAAATTTTCCATAATATTAATAAAAATTTAGGTATAGGTTAATATATATATTAACCTATACCTAAATTTTTATAACAACCATTACTCTTGAAAATAAAAGGTAAATGAAGTGTGTATGTATTTATATTAATAATGTTACAAGTACCCGACCTAATGCCGTAAATTATTGATATATAATATAGGTCGGGTATGGACATCCTTTTAACATACTGGTATTTATTGAGTATTAAGGCTTAAAGAAAAAGGAAGTATAATACTTACCCTTATGGATTCACCGTAATTAAAATCTAACTGAACATAAATGCCACACTTCCACAACGCCGTATTTTCGGACATGCACTGCTTAGGTAGATAGGGACCAACCAAACATTTTAAAACGCATTTTGGTCATTACCAGTTTTTTCAGTCTATTTTGCCACTATTGGTGCAATTTAACTTTAATTGTGATACAATGGGCACTAGTAGTGTAAATAAAAAAGAGCTCTTAGTAAAATCAAAACAGACAAAGAAATTGGCATGCACTGTAGTGTACATTTTGTCACTATTTAACACATTAAGGGGTAATAAACACTCGCATTAAGTTTTTCTACCCTTTTGATTTATTTTAATAATAAATAGTGTAAATGTACCAATGAATAATGTCCATATTCTTTAAATGTGTTTAATAAAGTTAATAAGCACTAAATGCTACCTAGTGTATTTTGTAGTGTAACTTTTACACTTACAAATCAACTCTAATATTTTTACCCCTACACTAAAAAATTTACACGGGCAAATTTTTTTACTGTGTATCGTGCTAAATTTAACGTAAATTATGAATACCTAATGCAATGTTAATATATTTGCCAAGGTTATCTGTTTTATTCTAATTAACCAAAATTTATTATATTAAAATTTATTTAACGTTTGTTTTTGTTGTTATTTGCTCCCCTGTATTTTCGTTCGATAAAAGTCACATGATACGCCGGCATGACGAATCCACTTACCAGTTAAGAGAGGCCAGTCAGTCGTTTTCGCTTTATAGTGAAGTTCCTGTCTATTATATTATTTATTATCCACTAATCTCGCTTCCAACAAAAATTCATAATTATCTGTTTTTGGTATTAAGATAAAATAATATAAGTTTTGTGAAAACCCACGATTAATCAAGGTTAGTCATTTTAGATTTTAAACTTTGATTATAGTTATCTTTTGGGCGTATCTTTTATAAATAGTAAAAACTTGTTATTATATTATTCTGTTATTTTTTAGACTTCAAGAAAGCAAGATGGGCTACAATTTTGAAAACGTAAGTACCAAAACATTGCTTTTTATTTTACCTCATTAAACCTAACAAATGTTTCCATGTCTTAAATTAATATTACACGCTGTTTTCTTTGGCCTAAAGTTATACTTTCTAGTCTAAGAGTAATTTGCCATTTTCAATTTTACTAAATAAGCCAGGCTTATTAAGCCTGCTTTTTTCTTTAATTAATATAAATATAAACTAAAAAATACGTATTTTTCATCTTAAAAATCGTTTTTAAAAAAGATTGCATCCACTTCTCATATTATAATATTTTCTTTGATTCGTAGAAAAACTATAATCCTTAATTAAAAAAAAAACTTCTATTGACTCCAGTTTCTATTTTATAACTAACACTACTTAATATGCTTAAGTCAAAATCATTGAAAACTAATTTTGACTAAAAACAAATAAACCTATTATTATCTAAAGAGATGTGCAACTGTAAAACCTGCCGATCCCTTTGAGCCAGTGAATGATGCCGAACTTCTTCGCGGGGCAATGAAAGGTATGGGGACCGATGAAGAGACCATCATCACCGTTTTGGCCAAAAGATCCAATCCTCAACGGCAGGAGATTGCTGATCAATTCAAAACGATGTATGGAAAGGTAAGAACAAACTATTGCTTTCGGAATATTTAACAAATATTCTTATTTGACTACTTTTATCAACAATGTATGCAAATAAATAGAAATTAATTCTTTTAGCAAACAAACAATGCACGGAGAGAAATGTATAGTAAATTTTAGATATGTAGTAAAAAAAATATAGTAAAATTTACTTGAACAAATTTTCAGGGTAACAATATTATATATTAATCAATACAATATTAAGATTGTAATACAAAATACTATTTTTTATTATACAATTTTAGTAAAGATTACAACACCAATATTACTAAATCATAAATGTATAATATATGTTTTAATTTTTAATATGTTCGTATAGTAAATTGATTTTACTATCTACAAATAGTAATATTTACTATACGATTTAATCAAATGTAAGGTGTACATCTAATATAATAATATATTACGCATTAATAAAAAATATAGTAAAAATAAAGATACTTTTATGTTAAAGGTAAATAAACAATATATTTAAATATAATATACAATAAAGTAACTCATAACATTTTAAACATTCAATTTTCTTAGTTTCTTTAATAAACTTTCTTGACCCATTACTGATAATACTTATAAGAAAGAATTGAACCTACTTGGTTGCCCAGTATTTACCGATTGCGGCAAAGGCCACGTCGCGACGCGTCGTTAGACGGTGTGGATCACGTGATGTTCTTACATCTCGCCTCTGTTGGCTTACCAACCATGTTATATAACTCAGGTACTTCTTTGTCTTGGGTGTGTTCCACTACTACAAGTTGCTCGACAGTGTCGTGTCGACACTGATGATACCCAATATAGGTCAAAACACCTGTTTTTCGGTATTTGAAGTTGATGGAACGCACTCAAAACAAAAACTTTGTCGAGGTGTAGGTTCAATTCTTTCTCATAACATTTTTGTATATTAAAAAGTACAATAAATATGTTACAATTTTTAATTGTTAACAAAAAAAATATTCGATTTTAAAATATTTTATATTTAAAATGGCAACATAATATTTTAAAATTTACTATATTTATTAGTAATGGAAAAAATCTAATAAGAATTAAAAACAAAATTGCTTGAGAATAATAATATTTTACCTTAAGGTTTAACATACATGGATATTTAAAAATTACTAAATATGCATAGTATCTGGCAATATACAAGATAGTTGTCCCAAATAGTAATATAAATTATAGTAAAGGGTATTATAATTATGCTAATCAGCATTATACTTTTCTCTCCGTGTGGTTTAGACCACTATTTTTTTTCATTTAATTAAATTTGCGAGGTGTGTACGTTTTTTTTTATGACAATAGATTGTTATTGCGTGTAAATTTTTAGGGATGGGTCTATTTTTTATGTTGTTAAAAGGTATTTAGGAATTTATTGATTCAAGTTATTTATATCAGAGTAAAAATTATCGATTTTAATGTAAATAGTTGTTTATCCTTGCATGATCTTTTTTATAATGTTATGAAATGTCGTTTTTATCATTTTATTATTTTTATTGTTTAACTAAAATATTTGAATCTAACATCTACATTTTATGAGGGTATTTTGTCAAAAATGGCGAATGTACCGGGGTTAATAAATTAATAATCGATTTTTATAAACATTTTTTGAGGCACCTAAAAGCTAAGTACCCAATACAAATAAAATTTAAAAAATGCACAAGTTCCCCACGTAATAGTTTTGCCAAATTTTTAAAGCGCTTTCCCACAAATGATCCAGATGGGCTCGATTTCCCCTAAGAATTAAGTGCTTCCCCCTAATTATTATTTATTTAAGATAATATACAGTTTTTAAAAATCGCACAATTCATATAACAACGTAATTATATTTATTTAATCGTACCATAGCAAATTTTTGACAAAAAAACTGGGGAATAATAAATCCCCCTAAAAATCGCATTAAGAACTTTCGTATACCCCTAAGAAGTTCGTCCTTCTAAAACGTTTCAAAAACCCATAAAACTAGGGGAAAACCCCTAATCTATCAACACTTACATATAAAGCATACAAATTTACCTATTTTTAAAAGTATTTCAAAAAACCTAAAAAACTATTATTATTGTTATTTTTTAAAACGCAAACAATAATATAAATTGTATTTTCTTGTTTTTATTAAATTTCTTTGATTTGATAGACATTGTGTTTCCCCCCAAAATGGACATTGTAATAAAGGTTGTAAAATAAATATTTTTATCCGAAATCGGCAGTAAAGTAAAAGAAATCGGCACTTTACTGCCGATTTAATACGAGTATTGTATGCAACCCATTATACATTTTAAGATGTGTCTACTGCTTCTCAGCAGCAACTAAATAATATTAAAAAAGCACCATCGCGGAGGTCGATTGGACCCTTTCATAAAATGTTGTTTAATAAAAATAATAAGTTAATTTATTAATTAGATTAAAAAATCTCCGTGGCGGGCAAATATATAATAACCGTCGCAACAAACAGTATGCGTAGACACTTCCTACATTCAAATGACAATTGATTTCATCATCAAATGACATTTGATTTAATCATCAATATTAATTAGGTATTAGTATTACTAAATGTGATTTCGGATAAAATTCAATATGCACCTAAAGTCAAGTCAAATCCAAGACGGACTAAAACAAAAAACGCCAGACGCGTGATCAGTCGTTTGCAGGTGGATAGAACGGTTCTTATTGGGCGATTCTGAGTTGTGAAGCGTGCCGAAAATTCTTGCCAGGGCCGCATTATGTCCATTGCGGTTATTAATAGCGTATTGTTTGATTACTTCCTTGTTTTCGCGGCTTTCATCTTTGTGGTTATTTTTGTTATTGTTTTATTATTAATACTTGTTATATAACGTTATTTCTTGTTATTGTTGTTGTTATTGCTATCATTGTTTTGGTTATTTGGTTTTTATTGTTATTATTATTATTCAATTAAGTGTGGAAATAAAAGAGGTTATTATATATGTTTTCATTAAACTTTAATTATTAAAGTTTAAAACAATAAATTTAAAATAATTTTCAAAAATTTCGTGAAATTAATTTAAAAAATATAATTTTCGTAAAAAATTTAAAAAGTTTAGATTAAAGTTTAAAAAAATAAATTTAAAATAATAATGAAATTATTTCCAAAAATTTTGTTAATTGCGTAATTTAAAAAATATAAATTTTATAAATATTTTAAAACCTTTCCATCAAAGTTTAAAACAATAAATTTAAAATATTAAATGATCAATAATATTGATTCAATATATTTTAATACGGCCCAGTGCAACAATTTTCGTCGATCACGTGAATAGAGCATGGACAACGCATGATTGTGTTTATGTAGAGTCCGGCTTGGATTTGACTTGACTTTAGGCATGCATTAAAGTCATTTTCGGCCATCGCCTCGGCAAATAATTTCCACATTCGTAATAAAAAATACGACTTCACTGCCTTGATACATAAATAACTATTATTTGAGGTTTTGTTTTCAAATTATCGACCTTTTTTTGTTTTTACATAAAACTTTTTATCTCTGTTAGTTATGGCCTGGTTTAAAAAAAATAGGTTTTTGGATTTGTGTATTTAATAAAAATATCAACTAACAAAGAAGGCTTATGTAAAAAGTTTACTAAAAACAAGAGAAGGTCGATAATTCGAATGATAGAAGATCATATATGATATTTTTTATCTAATTGAAAATCTCACATTAGTGTTAACACATACGAATAATTCCTGAATAAAATATAAAAGTGCGCCCATAGGTGTGTAGTTTTTACCATTTATGTTTTTTCAATTCTGTAATATTTTTGTATTTTTTTTCTACCCTTTTAAGTTTAATTTAATAAGGTCTTATTAAAAATCCTTATTATCAATGTTCATAAAACATTAAAAACTACCTCATTTTAAGGACCTAATCGACGACCTAAAAAGCGAACTGGGCGGCAACCTCGAGGACATGATTCTCGCCCTGATGACCCCAGCTGCAGAATACTACGCCAAAGAGCTACACAAAGCCATTTCCGGCATGGGAACCGACGAAGAAGTGCTCGTCGAAATACTGTGCACAATGACCAACCACGACATCAAGATCATCGCCGAAACATACCAAAACCGTAAGTTAAGTTAAAAATATGAAATTTGTAATAAATACTAAAATATATTACCTTAACTACGGTGTCGCGCAAAAATCGAACAAATTTTGGACATTTGTTTGCAAGTGATGCCAGAATTAAATATATTTTATATAATTTTAATGAATACTGCTACTGCTAATTCAAAACTGATCCTGGGCACAGAAACATAATTTGCATAAAAAAGTTAATATATCAAATAATAGTCAAATATCAAAACTTCAACGTGTTATACTCAAATTTATAAAACAAAGTTGCTTCTTCGATTAAAAATTGTTAAATTTTAAATTAAATTATCACTAGCGCCCCTGTATATTAAAATCTAAAAAAAATCATGGAATTATTTTCATTAGTAAGATCCACATTTTGTCCAAATTTTAAAATAAAAAAGTTATTAAAAAATGAAATTTCTTCATTTTTAACACAGTGAAGAAAAAAATAAAAATAAAAACAAAGTTGTCAATGGACGAGATTTTTTTTGTTGAAAAAAGTACTGCATTTAGATGCAGAAATAAGGTAAAAAAAATTAAGTCGATTTTTTGAACCCTTGCAAATCGGCCGTTCGATCCTTTCGCGAAAAATACCAAATTTTCAAGATTCTATATTTTAAGACCCCAGAGATATATTTACTTCAAGTGCATACCTGCAACTTAATATTAATAAACATCTTTATTGGTTTCCCAACAGGCTATCGACCGTGGTCTTTCTGCCCAATTTTACAAAAAAAAAATTATAAATATAATAATTGTTAATTGTAGTTACAATATTGAATTTATTTAAAAAAAAAAGTAATAAAAACATATAAATCTCAAATCTTTTAGTCTTCGTTAGTGATGTCCGTGATTATCTCCCATAAAGTTTGTGTAGGATATTTCTTTTTGGGGGGCAGGTTATGGTCTCTACCGTGCATTAAGTTTTCCATAATTTGTATGTTGTGGTGTTTTTTTGCAAATTGGCATGCCAGCTCCTTGAAACGTTCCAAAATGGGGGTGACCTGCGTTGTTTCGTATAGCAGTTGATTTGATGGATTATGAAGTGGATTATCTGGGTGTCTCATTTTGGTGATTATTCTCAAATTACTCCGTTCAGCCACTTCTAGCTTACCTACAGTAGTTTTTTTGCAATTTAGGTAGATTAGGAAGGCATATTCAATAATGGGCCTGCATATCATTTTATAGATTTTAATCGCAGTTTCAGGTTGTATACCGTTATTTTTGTATGTCAGGCTTCTGAAAGGTTTGGCTCTTGTAATCATCTTGGTTTTCATTAAGTTGGCATGAAATTGAGTTTGCTATCTAAATGTATTCCAAGGTATTTGCATGCATTAGATGGTCGTATTGGTTGATTAAAAATTTGTATAGAGGGGGAATTTATATTTATTTTGTGATTGAATATTATTAGTTGAGTTTTATTGGGATTTGGTTTTATTCTCCACTTGGAAAAAAACTGGATTATATTATTGCCGAGATTTTGTAAGTGAAGCAAAGTGTTTTAAGTTTTTCTGGTGAAATTAAAGCTTTATCATCTGCGAATTCTAGAATATATGTGTTAGGATTAAATTGTTGAGAATAGATGTCATATGTGAATAGATTGTATAGAATGGGGGATAAAGGAGAGCCTTGCGGGACACCTTGTTGTATAGAAAATGATTTAGATAATTTTTGATTGTGTTAACTAGACTCAGTCTATTTTTTAGAAAGTTATTTATAAAGTAAATTAGATATTTTGGACAATTTAAGCTGTATAATTTGTATAATAGGCCGGCATGCATGACATATGTCACACACTATCGAATGCTTTACTAATGTCCATGAAGAGAGCTGCTGATTTGTTGCCTTTTACATTGTTTGTTTGAACATTCGAAGTTAGAATAAGCAGTGGATTGATTGTGGAAGAATTTTTTCTAAAGCCAAATTGATGGGGTGAAATGTTGTCGTCTAGTTCTTCTTCTAGTCTTATTTTAATGATTTTTTCCAAGTTTTTTCCAATAACGTAGTAAAGTAATTGGGCGAATGGGCGAAAGTTGGTTGTTTTTGTCAGATCGTAATTCGGTTTAGGAATGTTTATAATAATTCCTTTTTTAAATTCTTGTGAATAGTATCGGTTTTTATTACAGTAATTATATATATCTAAAACTTTATTATATTTATATTGTCATAACCTGGTGCTGTATTTTTGCCGGTATTTAGTACATGATAATATTCCTCTTCAGTAACTTCAGGCACTTCTCCAGGGTCGGTATGGTCGTTAAAGTACAACTCGTACCAGTCATTTATTTCTTTGAACCTGCAACTTATTTTTGTTACAGTTTACGATAACTCCTTGGAAGACGATTTGAAAGGGGACACTGATGGCACCTTTAGGCGACTGATGGTGTCATTATGCAACGCAAACCGCGAAGAAGGTTTCGATGTTGATTTCAACGCTGCCAAAGAGGATGCACAGAAACTTCTAGAAGCCGGTGATGGATTTGGCACTGATGAATCAACCTTCAACATGATCCTATGTCAAAGGAACTACGCGCAACTCCAAAGAATATTCGAAGACTACCAGGCCATCTCCGGGAACGATATCGAAGATGCCATCAAGAGCGAGTTCGCTGGAAATGCCGAAGATGCTTATTTGGCAGTGGTCAGAGCTGCTAAAAACCCTGCCGCATATTTCGCCAAAAGGTTGCATCACTGCATGAGTGGGATGGGGACCGAGGACAGGCATTTGATCAGGTTGATTGTGGCCAGGTGTGAAGTCGATATGGAGGATATCAAAAAGGAGTACGCCGCCATGTACGACCAGACTCTTGGGGATGCTATCAGAGTAAGGAGAATTTAAATTTAATAAAAAAATATACCGGGTGTCTCAGTTTATACTCGGTGGTACCCTGATAGCAAAATTTGATTTTAAGAATCTTCTAAGAAGATATGACCCGGAATAATGGAATATTCTTAGAACCTTCCCTTATTGCTAAGAATGTTCTTAGGGACTTTAAAAACATTCAATAGATACCCTTTTAATGATGCAATTAGATTCTTAAAAGCTTCTTAAAACCTTACTAAAAAGCATCCTAAGAAGAATACGTTTTTGGAATGTTCTTAGAAGGTTTCTTATGGAGCTTCTAGGAAGCTTTTGAGAATATTTCCAAATATGTCAGATACCCACGTTCTAATATGTTGTATTCTATATTCGTAAAATTGTTCAGGAGACGACAAATAGGCCTCACTGTCATAATATGAAAGTGAAATGTATTTGTCGTCCCCTTAAAAAATTTTGCGACATATTAATATATATTTATTTAAAAATATTAAATAACCAATTTGACCTCTAAACCATAAGTTGTATGACATTATTTCATAAAAAGTAAAATTGGAAAATTTTGTGGGATAACTCAGATTAGATTGAAGTTGAAGATAGTTAGGATTATTATACATAAAAATGTTAATTCAGAAAAAAAAATCGGTATTCAAATTAATAAATATTTATTTTTAACATAAAATAAAATACCTATACGGCCATTCCAAGCCCATGGACAGGACACATCAAAAACATGTCTAAATATATTCTTATTACTTCCTTAAGTTTACTTATTTTTTCTACGAGTATTTGAGTAATTCTTTTATAAACCGAACACCTTTTGACCGACACATCTCAGATTTGCTTGAAACTTTTTTTACGGATTCTATGTCGAAAAATAAGAGATACGTGTCCGAGGAGTTTTTTTTCTCTCGCATATTTTCGATAATACAAGCTATCGAAAATTTGAGAATAACGAGTTTTTTGGCTTGGAGACTCATTTTCAAAAATTTATAACTATGGTTCTATTTGAGCTACAAACTTCTTTTTTTTTTCATTTTAAAGCTAAACGACTGAATTTTCATAAAAAAATATTTTTAATAAATATTATTAACAAATTCATATTGTTATTAACAATTTCATTGTTTAAATCAATTTTTAACAATGGCCCCCACCTCGTATTAAGTTTTTAGTATTTTTATCATATTCTCCGTCAAATTTTACATAAAAAACATGTTTTAAAAATATGGTACCTTTATTATTACTATTGTTAAAACATTAATTTGTATTGCGCGACACATAAAAAAACGGTTTTTTGTTAATAAAAAGAAAACTATAGCTCGGATCAAAAAAAGTCAAATATAAAAGTTGTAGATAATAAAAAGATATACAATTTTTATTTTAACTATTTTTTGACATAACCTCACTTTTCAAATAAATTGAAATTTTTTAATTTATTTGAAAAGTGAGGTTATGTCAAAAAATAAATAAAATAAAAATTGTATATATTTTTATTATCTACAACTTTTATATTTGACTTTTTTTGATCCAAGCTATAGCTTTCTTATTATTAACAAAAAACCGTTTTTTTATGTGTCGCGCAATACAAATTAATGTTTTAACAATAGTAATAATAAAGGTACCATATTTTTAAAACATGTTTTTTATGTAAAATTTGACGGAGAATACGATAAAAATACTAAAAACTTAATACGAGGTGGGGGCCATTGTTAAAAATTGATTTAAACAATGAAATTGTTAATAACAATATGAATTTGTTAATAATATTTATTAAAAATATTTTTTTATCAAAATTCAGTCCTTTAGCTTTAAAATGAAAAAAAAAAGAAGTTTGTAGCTCAAATAGAACCAGAGTTATAAATTTTTGAAAATGAGTCTATAAGCCAAAAAACTCGTTATTCTCAAATTTTCGATAGCTTGTATTATCGAAAATATGCGAGAGAAAAAAAATTCCTCGGACACGTATCTCTTATTTTTCGACATAGAATCCGTAAAAAAAGTTTCAGCCAAATCTGAGATGTGTCCGTCAAAAGGTGTTCGGTTTATAAAAGAATTACTCATTTATGAGAAGTAGGTATTAGCCAAATTTGGCTAATACTTCTCATAAATACTCGTAGAAAAAATAAGTAAACTTAAGGAAGTAACAAGAATATATTTAGACATGTTTCTGATGTGTCCTGTCCATGGGCTTGGAATGGCTGTATAGTAAAAGTATTTTTGTTATCGAATATTGTTTTAATTTGAGAAATAACTGTAAAAAAATATTTTGAATTGTGTTTTTTACTTAGTATTTAATACTAATTACTAATTAGGTACTTAAGTATAGGTACCTTTATACGTAGATTATGGTATATTTTACTATTATATAGGTAACTCTAAATATGCTTAACAGGAATATTCCTAAATGAACTTTCTATAGCAATTACTTTATTAACATTCTAAGCATATGTTTAGAGTAGACTAATTTTTACCACTAAAACTTTGCACCTTCTAAGAACCTGCCTATACGCCAGTAAGAATATTCTTAGGATCATGTCTTTTAAGCATGTTCTTTAGAAGAAATATAGCATGATCCTAAGAATATTCTCACAGGAAGGTTTAAAAAATATTCTTAGAATAAAGTGTGCTATCAGGGTAGTAGTAATAGCAAAACTTTGGCAGTGGATTTAGAAGGATATTTTAACTCAAACAAACCTAAAATTACTTTTTACATCCGCTGCTAATTTTTTTTATGTTTGTGTGATGTCCATTTTAATTCTATGAATATTTTATGATTAATTTTCAGGATGATTGCTCGGGAGACTACAAAAAATGCCTTTTGACTCTAATAGGAGAAGGACTATAAAAATCGTGTTCCTAAAAATATTTATCCAAAAATTTAAACCTCTTCTTTAGATGTTTACGAATTAAATATATTTATAAATACAAAAATATGTAATTTTCAAAATATATTTGTTTTTTCTCATTATTTATTTATGCATGTCAGTGTTGTTATATTTATATAAAATATTGCATTTATTTTTTAAATAAACTGTGTTTTATCAATTCCAAATATAATTATATATTATTTCACCCCTTTCCTTTTTAATAAAATGGACATCTCATAAAACAAAACAAACAAAAAATCAACAAAAAAACTTAAAATAATTGTTTTTTCTTTATTTTAGGGAGATTGTCCAGGAGAATATAAAAAAATACTACTAGCTCTTTGTGGAGAAGATTTCTCCTAAATAAGGTTCGGAATTTTTTATTTGGACTTTGACATCGTCGTAAATTTTAAACATTTTAATTTAAATATACCAAAGAATATTGCTAATCAAATGTGTCAAAGTTCAAATAAAAAAATGAACTTCATCCTTTACTAAATATTTCTTAATTTAAAGGTTTATGGCTTGTAGTAAAAAATTGTTTTTTTTCTTATCAATTACATTTGAAACATTATTTTATAATATTTTACCATTTTTTTAACATATGCCTACCTAAATAGACTTAAATTGGACATCTCCTAAAATTAAAAATTTTACCAAAAAAAATTAAAATGTTTTATTTATTTTCAGGGGGATTGTCATGGAGATTATAAAAAAATGCTTCTGGCCCTTTGTGGAGAAGATTTCTCTTAAATTCTAAAATTTAATTGGGCAGCTTTAAAAAACTGATAAATAGTAATAGGAATGAACTAATTAATATACATATATGATACCATAGCTTCTTTAATTTAAAGATTTATATTTATACACTTACTTAAATAGATATTTTTTATTTTTACAAACAGTATTTTATAAAATATTTAAATCAGCTTAAAAACTTGCTTGTACTGTACTCTAAAACGCTTTATATAAAATATATTATCGTATAGCATATTGCACTTTTATTTACCTAAAAAACCCATGGGTTGTTTAAATATATGGGTGATTCTACAAAAGTTGGGCAATTTTTGACCTCATTTTGTCTATATAGTTTTCGTAGAAAATTAAACAGTATTTTGTTATGAGAACATAGATAATATAATAAATATACTGTTCCAGACCGGGCCAGTCACTTTTTCAAACAGTTTCTGAAATATCTGTGTTTTCTAAATTTGAATACAAGGGAAGTGACGAGTATACCAGGGTACTAATTAAATACATAATTTATTGAAAAATATAAGATTTATTGCAACTTTGAGCATATTATACATTAAATATCTTAAATTCAAATAATACCAAACATCAGTGGCGACTGGTGGATTTTGGATATACCGATATCTCAATTATTAGATATGGGACCCACACCAAATTTATATGAGTTTATAATGACATTAAATAAACAAGTTCTGCGTAAGCAGAATTTAAGTTGTTTTTTGCGAAAAAAGATAACCGAAACATCGAACATCGAACTGACGACACGGTACTGATGAATGTGATACAAATTTGACATTATAATTCGGAATTAAGTATTTTACTGATATTTTTTATTAGTGGATGATACTTATCAACAAATCACATATAGCCTTATATAAATTACAATGAAATATATATACGTAAGAAAATAACTACTTACCACAGTACTGAAATTTTGACTGGAACTATACGTGCATTCACCACAACTTCGCTTGCATTGTTTTCAAGATGACTTCCGTGCGAAGGGCGGGCTCTGTAGGTAATTTTTTTACCAACACTTGAGCTAAAACGAGGACTTGACGTTTAAACTTCAATATTTCGCATGAATTTTGACGATGGGTAAAAGTGAGTACAAAGATTATAAATTTTTTTTAAATTATTCGAATCTATGATTTTTTTTTTTTTTTTTTTTTTTTTTAAATTATTCGAATCTATGATAAAATATGAAAAGGGACGCATAAGTGAACTGGTGAAACAGTGGCATGTATCGAATGAAATTAGTCTGTCAGACCACAGATACATAAGGTTTAACCTTGAATCGACAATTAACACCCAACGGGAGTACAGAAACCCTAAGAAAACGAACTGGGACCTATATAAAGAGGTACTAGAACGTAATTTGGAGAGCTGCCCAAAAGAGGCGAAGGATACCTTTGATCTTGAATTACTCACCGACTCGGTGACAGATTCCATTAAGGATGCCTACGAGCAGGCATGTCCACTGCGTTGCTCAAAACAAAAAGAGGGCCCATCTTGGTGGAACTCTGACCTAGAAAACCGCAGAAAGAAAACAAGAAAGTTGTTCAACAAAGCGAAAAGAACGGGAGAATGGGACCTATACAGACACCACCTAACCGAATATAACAATGCCATCAAAAAGGCCAAGAAACTATAGTTTCTTGGCCAACCTATAGGTTGGCAAAAACTATGCCGGGAACTATCAGAGATACCGGCCTACTCCAGACTGCATAAAGCCATGGCCAAAGGGCCACAGCAGACCCTGGGAACATGCCTAAAACCAGAAGGAGAACACACAACTACTGAAAGTGAGACACTTAGGCTTATGCTAAGGACACACTTTCCAGGATCAATCATACTCGAAAATTCGGAAATCCAAAACCAAACCACACTTGAAATAAAAAGGGGAAAAAAGGAGGACTGGATTCTATCGAGAAAAATAATAACATACGAAAAAGTTAAATGGGCAATAAAAACTTTCAAACCATTTAAATCTGCCGGAACTGACGGAATCATACCAGCCATGTTACAACAGGGCCAAGACCTGCTGCTACCAAGACTGTGCAAAATCCTAAGAGCCAGCCTAGCTCTCAATCACATACCGGAAGGATGGAGAGAGGCACTGGTGGTTTTTATACCAAAACCAGCAAAAGCCTCCTATGACAAACCAAAATCCTTTCGACCAATTTGCCTAACATCATTTCTTCTGAAAACAGAGGAAAAACTGATAGAGCAACATATACGGGAAGAAGTACTGCACAGAAGGCCTCTACACCGAAATCAATTTGCCTACCAAACAGGCAAGTCTTGCGAATCCGCCATCCATGAGATAACCCAAAGGGCTGAGCAATCTTTAGACAACAAAGAAGTGGCCCTTGGGGCATTCCTGGATATCGAAGGAGCGTTTGACAACACGTCATATGACTCAATAAATCGATCAGTAAGAGATCGCAACATAGAACCTCTGGTTGGCAAATGGATCAAACAGATGCTGGATCAACGACGAGCCAGAACCACTCTTAACAACACAACTGTTAGAGCTAAAGTGTGCAGAGGGACACCACAAGGGGGGGTGCTATCACCCCTGCTATGGAACCTCGTATCGGACAGTTTACTGACACGATTGGAAAACAAAGAAATATACGCAATAGGATATGCGGACGACATTGTACTCCTTATCAGAGGCAGCAACACAGCCCATGTGTTTACCAAAATGCAAAGGGCGCTAAACGCTGTCGAAAACTGGTGCAATGAGGAGGGACTTCGGGTAAATCCCACAAAAACTTCCCTTATCGCCTTTTCTCGCAAAAGAAAGTTAGAACCCGTGAAAAACCTAATCTTCTACGGGGAAACGCTGCCCTTGAAAAACGAGGTTAAATATCTAGGAGTTACACTGGATAAAAAACTCACCTATCGGATGCATATAGAGAACATAACAAATAGGGCCATAAAAACCTTCATGACCTGTAAAAGAACATTTGGTAAATCTTGGGGACTGTCACCAGGCATGGTACAATGGGTGTACACAGCTATGGTCAGACCCATAATTACCTACGCGGCGCTAATATGGTGGCACGCAACAAAAACAAGGACTGTAAAACAGACACTCAGCAGAATCCAAAGACTGGCGTGCTTGGGAATAACTGGTGCAATGACAACTACACCGACCGCAGCCATGGAAAACATACTAGGACTCCCCCCTCTACACATTCAGATTAAAGCTGAAGCGTTAGCGGGAGCCCAAAGACTAATCTCAAATAAGGCCGAAGTTATTTCCACCATCAGGCATAATGCCATATTTGAAGAGCTAGAAAATACTGGCAGTCTAGCCATTAGAACAGACAAAGCCAAGGTCAAACACTTCAATAAAGCTTTTATCTCAAAAAGGATAAAGGCTGAGGAGATAAACAACCAAATCGCCCGACTCAGGCAAGAAGAAAACCTAATCTGGTACGTAGAACACAAGCGGTCAAAGACCGGTGTTTCTGCGGGCATAAAAGAGGTATCTCAACAGGGCAGCCAAGAAATACTAAACCTGGGAAAAGAGATAACCGATCTTCAAGCGGGCATCATTGCCATACAATTGGGTTTCCAACGAATGAGGGAGAGCAATCCCACGGAGAAGTTGCTCACCATCATTACACACGAACCAGAACCAATCCAGGCACTGGAGGCATTTGAAATCAATTCGAAGGCCGTACTAGAATGTCTGAGAGATATGACGGCATTAACCGAAGCACAAAACCAGATAACTCTTATCCTTGTGCAAGAAGAAGGCAGAAACAGTTCGATGAGGTGGAAGCCAAACTTCGCAGCTGATGAAGCCGAAACCCTGCTGATGGGGCCGGAACCCACATGCGGCACCAGCCAAGAATCATCCAGGAAAAAACTAATTGACTGGACAGAACTACAACACAAACAATACTGGGAAAGCCTGTCTGGTCTGGAGCATTCGAAAGCACTTTTGGACAATCCATCTGCTGAAGGGCAGAAACCAATGAGGACATATACCAGGACCCAACTAAAAAAAGCATTAGGCCTTCTCACAGGCCATGCTCCATTCAAAAAACATCTTCACAAAATGGGGATGACAGATGACCCCTTGTGTAGAGGATGCGAAGAAGAAGAGGAAACACCTCTTCACATTATGTGTCAATGTGAGGGATTCAACACCTTAAGAAGAACACACCTGGGAGAGTCTAAACTCACACCAGAACTTTTAAAATTGCTTCCACTGCCTCGGCTACTGCGCTTCATAGAAGCAACGGAGCTAGAGCTATGAAGTAATACCATTTAGGGCACAATAGGATTGCGAAAGCAAACCGCAGTGCAGGGCTTTGAACCACCTAACGGGGGAGTTTTAGTGGGTATACGTCAATAGACGGAGTCCCACACTACTCGGGGCCCCAAGAGGAACCGAGTGTTCGTAAAGAATTTCTCCGCCGGCCAAAGAAAAAAAAAAAAAAAAAAAAAATGATAAAATATGAAAAATACATTATTTAATGTTTTATAGTTTGTAGTGAAATTGAAAAATTTAAGATAAATTGAATATATTTTAAAATAAAATCACTCAAATATTTGATTCAGGAGTTGTGACACGCCAAGGTATAATACCTTAGGTATTGATGTTTTGAATATTTATTATGTTTTTCTACAAACGTTGTAATGTACACTATGTATTTTCGTAACCCAATTCTTTAAGTATACTGAAATACTTATTTTGGCATATTCGTGATCGTCTAGATAATTTACTTACTTTATAAAAATTAGGACTCTACGTTGTGTATTTAAGTACATTGATAATAACGTTATTTTGAAATTGGTCAGGTTTAATGAAACACAAGTATTTAATTTTTAAACCCCTGATTTAATTTAAGCAAAGACAAAGGGGTGGCCCGTTGAGTCAAAGCACAGGGAAAAGGGACCATAAAAACCCTGGCGACTTACACAGTTCAAATAAAAATAAATTACAAAAGCAAACTTAGTCATATGGGTCACATTTACAAGAATACAGTATAAATAATAAGTGAATAAAATAACATAAAAAGCAGATAAACATATTTCATTTGATTTGGGTATTTTATCAATATTCTAAACATTTTATACTCAGGTAAAGTCATTCTTAGAGATTGTCATTTCATGACAAAGATTTGTACTATTTGATTACCTTACCACGCATCTTCGAACTATTGTACGATGATACGATTTTATAAAATAATAATAATAATAATAATAATAATA